CTACCCATAGTGTAACAGCTTGAAATTTAATTGGGAAATTCAGCCAAACAAAAACAACAAACCCTAAATCATGGAAATTATGTAGGCTTTTCTTTATTAGAAACAAATGTTGATTCTTTTTTTCTGTCTACACCCTAATTAAAACCATTCTCTGCAATTATAGTATGACCAAATGAGTATCTTTCAGTCTGCTTTTCAACTGTTACAGCTGCACTCAAAATGTTTCTTTGAGATCAGCTAGGAAATACATAGCTCTTTAAAAAGGGCTTATAGAAGAAAGAGTTGTAGTAGGCTTGCTTAATTATTTAATCAAACATGTATCTATGTAATATTTTGTAACATGGATATTCAGCTGATATGCATCAGAAGCAGCGGATGATGGTGCATATGCAAACTTGCTAAAATATGAAGGTTAGCAATGTGTTTTTCTATATAACTTTGAGTGATTGTCAGAAGTTATCATAATAGTGCCCAAAAATAATCCTTGAGTACTTCCCAGAACATAAGAAGCAATATTAACCTTTTTTTTAACCGTTCTATTAATCTCAACTCCTGTATGATCATCTCTCACTATGTATTCAGCCAAGTCTATATATACATTTTACCTGTGCCGGAAAGTTAATTACTAAGCTAAAAATAGAGCTGCAAAAAAAAGTTTGTGGTGTGTATATGTATGTACATACATGTGTCTGTGTGAGTGTAGATGTATAAAATTACCTGCAGGTAATACAGGCACAGGAGTCGATGGAGCTTCTCACACAAAGTGAGAGTTCAAAACAACTGATTTCATAACAAAAGTTCCAGGTTTACGGTGTATGTTTATATTGTATGTTTGTGTAGACTGTCCTTATTTTCTGAAAAGGCAGTTTTTAAATTGGGAGGTTTTAAAGCTGAATTGAAAGCTTGAAATTTGTAAAGCCTAAAGGCCCTCAGGAAATGAAGACTCATCTTCACAATCCTCCCCAATTAAGCTTCTAAAAATTAGAATGATCTTTGTGTCCATCTTCAGTTGTAGCCTGTTTGTATCATCCAAGATAATCATCTTGACACCCATCACTTGTTCTATCTGACCAAGAATTTTAAGACAGGATGTGCCCTAACATATCTTGACACATGTCTTCCTAACATACAGTCAGCAAAAATGAGGAGGCAGGTTCAGGGTGATTAACCATGACATTACTTTATAGATCTAATGTAATATGTGTGTATGTGAATATGTATCTATACAAATAATAGTCAAGTGCGTGTTTAGAGTTAGAAAAAGATTCAGGGTTATGTCTTGTATCCTTGGAGGTTAATTTAATATGATTTAGAGATTAAAAGATTTTCTCCATCTGAAATTGTGAGAGAGCTACCCACACATACAAAATAAAATAAAAATAAAAACAAGGCTGCACGTACAAAGAAGGAAGAGCATCACTGTGTGCTGTACGGCCTGAGCTTGCTTGTCTACTGCCTGGCTTAGAGCTGCAGGCATGCAGTGGTATCTCTACACTCGCTGGCTTCCTTGTACACATTGTCACAGGAGGCTTGGCTTAATCAGTTGTGAGCTGAAAAAAGTAATATAAATTGGAACCTTTTGTCATGAAATATTTAAATGTGGATATGATTTAATGGCTTTGGGGAGAAAACTTAGCGTGAGAGATTGTAAGAAACAAGAAATCGATTACGTGTAAGAAAGGACTTGAACCTCTAATCAAGTATTACCATATACAGAGAGATCCCTAGCTAGTTATAGCTTAATTCAAAGGGGATAATGGTTAGATTTTTTGTTAATTTTAAGTTTTATCAAAAAATGACATTCCTATTCGCTCTTTATCTAGTTTTGCATAATACATACTTACAATGATTTATGGAAAGCCTTCACTATGTAAATACTGAAGCATATGCTACACAGTATCTGTAAGTACTGTGTTTTCTATGAAATGTAGGCATCTGTGCAATTTTTCTTTACTTTTGCTGGGGGGAAAAAGCCAAACAGCTTCTCGCTGAAAATTAACAAGGTCTAGCCTGATATAACTACTAGGGATAGGAAAGGATCATTTAGGAGCAGCTTTCAGATTCCCTGCCGTCTCTATGAGAGCGAGGAGGGTAAGCCCATGACAACGGCACCCTTGGCCGCCAGTTTCTCTGATCAGCGGGACTTAGCAGCTGCTGAAGGTCTGGCCCTCCTCACTGCAAATCCGTGAACTAAATGAAACAAAAGGTGGTGGCGCCTCATTGAAAGGTAGCCTGTGTAGCCAACCGCCGGCTTCTCTTGAGTTAAGCTGCAGAATAACTTCCTGAAAACATACCGGGAGCACCCGTATGTAGGTTGAGTCTGCCTGGTCCGCGCACGCAAAGGAGCTGGGTGCGCTGCTGCTGCATGAGGGACTGCACGATACCACCTTCCGCTTACGTGTGGGAGTCTGTTAAGGGATCTGTACCCACTATTCTCATGAGTTATTGTCATGCTGGCTGTATTTAATTTTTGTTTACTTAAGTATCCGTTTTTGTAAAGCATCCATCTGTTACATAAGCCTGTGAGTGATTTACAAATTAAAGCAAAACCAAAACAAATTACTACCAGTAGTACATTGCAAAGCAGCTTGCAGCTGGCTGCAGACAGGAATCCTAATTCAATACATGTAAGCAGTGTAAATTAGACGATGTTATTTCCATCTTCAAACAATGCAAGTTACGGTTAGAAGGAATGAATGCTTGTGGCTGGGGATTAGAAATGTGTGTGTATAGATTGGGTCAGAGGTGACAGCGAAGGCCTGAGACCAAAATCTGAACTGAGTCAGTTCCAGGTAGGAATTACTCAAATGTAGAACTGGTATGGCTGCCTGGAAGTTGTGGGAGAAGTAGATGTTAAGAAGCTTTAGGTCACACTCCTGGGGACAATAGCCAAAGTTAGTTGCATGGGAAAAAAAATACAATCTTAGAGCTTTAAAGTATGAACCTGTCCTTTAATTGTTTGTTTGTTTGTGGTGTTGGTGGGTTTTTTTCTCCCTCCCCTCACTCCATTTTGGTTTTGTTTTGTTTCAGATTGTTTTGTTGTTGCATGGGGGTTTTTGATGTTCTAGATGATTTCTACTAGATAGCACTGACTGCCTGTAAAATACCGCTTCATCAGACAGATAGAGCCAGGAGGGCATAGAAATTAGAGATGTCCACAGTGCATAAAGGTGTTCAGAGGTGGGGACATTTCCTGATTAATGTTGCAAACCAGGACCAGCATCTGCATCATGGTGCGTCCTTCATCACTGTGTAGATACATGATGAACATTTTCTGCGTAGAAATGGTTTCTGGGGCTTTCCATCTGGGTCAGATGGGTAAGATTTCCATCATCAATTGCTGCTGAGGGTTTCATAGTCTTGTAAGGTTTGATTGTGAGTGGTCATGGGTGGAGCCTTTCTAAAGGTTTTGCAGTTGCATTTAATGGCATTGACCTTCATCATTAACTTTGTATCCAGAGGGGTGACACAGTTCAGAACTAAAATAATAAAACCAGCTGTAATCAAATAAATATATGCTTTACTATTCGGGGCAAACTGCATTTTCCAGTACTTTAGAAAATGTGAGGGGAGAGAAGAATCAATCCTCTGAAGACTGAAGATAATAAAATAAAGAAATAAATAAGACCTGGGGAAAAAAAAAAAAAAAAGGTATTTGTAGGCTTCATAATCAAACAAGAGCTAGTGGTTTTTGCAATAGTGTGTAGTCCAAAGTGTTCGGATAAGCTTCTGAAGCTGAGATTCAAGATTTAAAAAGATCAGAGACAGTACGGTGGAGTACCTTGCAAGGCTTTCAAACTGTTTAATGCATGAGGAAGCATTGGAATAATTCTGGTTTGATGGCCTGCAACAGTGCTTGTTGGTTATAGTTACTGTGCTGATGATATGTCCAGCATTTGCCCAAAAGGAAAAATGCCAATAAAATGATGTATTCATTATATAAGTATTTTAATATGTTTTTATCAATACATGCTGGAATGGATTCCCTGACATTACATTGCAGAATTTTTAAGTCCTACCTTCAGGCAAATCTCATGCTTACTAGCAAAAATGAAAGTGTGAAATGCTTTTTAATGTATATTTAACAACAGATAGTCTAGTGATTACTGATGTGTATTCTCTCTGGAGTTTTCCCTTGCTATCAGAAGGCAATGTTAAGAGACAACATTTTTACACATTTATGCTATCTACATCCATCAGATGCTTACTTTTTACATATTTTTAACTGCCATTTATAACAAGGCTGCAAAAAAGTAATCTCTTAAGTCTAAACCATACCAAGACTGCAAGCTTACAATCAATTGCTAGTAATAGTGCAGCAATACTTAAAACCAGTGCCCCAATTTCTACCTTTTGATGCAAGTTTATAATGAATGTGTTTTTCAGTACTGCTGTCATGGAAAAAAAAAAGAAAAAGGGAAAAAAAAAGAGTAAGGTACAAGCATTGTGTACTATTTTTAAGACCTTTTGCCTTGCATAAAAATTTCTTGTGAGATGGCCCATGAGTGCCTTCAGTCTTATGTCTGCTTATATTTAAGAAGTAAATCTATCAAATGCATTTATTTAGCCCTTTCATATAGTGTCAGCATTTAATAGCGAGTAAGGTGTGATTTTCTATATTTTACAGTGGAGTGCACATCAACAGTTCATGTTTTACGCTAATGTATGCTAAACAGTAGCATTGTACATCGATCGCTTGTGAAAATAAAAGTATTTAAAGCATTTTAGATCACAGAGATCTGTAGTCTACATTTTGTTTTCTCTGACATTAATAAACTCAATCTGTTTCTCTGAGTGTGACTCTAATTGCTGTATTTGCATGGCTGGAAAGTTTGCATTTTTTGGTCGAGTTCTATTAACGCCGTTTGCATGTTGTTTTTTGAGCTTAGTGTTTCATGTTCAGGCGGCAGAGCACCTTCTATTGAATTCAATAATTATGCAGAATCAATAAGTTTTTTTCTTTGTGTTTGTCTTTGTTGTTTCTTTGATATGGCCTCTAGGATGCTGCAGGCAAGGTGCTGGACCGCTGGGCCATCATGTCCAGGGAAGAAGAGATCATTACCCTTCAGCAGTTCCTGAGATTTGGAGAAACCAAATCCATTGTGGAGCTGATGGCAATTCAAGAAAAAGAAGGGCAGGCTGTGGCTGTGCCATCTTCAAAGACAGATTCAGATATAAGGACTTTTATTGAAAGCAATAATCGCACCAGGAGCCCAAGTCTCCTTGCTCACCTGGAGAATAGCAACCCTTCCAGCATTCATCATTTTCAAAACATCCCAAATAGCCTTGCATTACTGCTTC